TCATGTCCACTGTATTTCTTTTATTTTTTTTTCCATGTAGTATTGTACTTAAAGGATTTTGTTGTCCTTTTTTGAAACATAGACGGTTTGGAAAATTCTCTTATGTTTCAATCAAACTACGTTTGCCAACGACTAATTTGTTTTTAAAAGACTTCATCATTATACCGAGGCTAGTCTTGTTTGCTTGTTTTGGCTTAAAGGTGTGAAACCCTCGGTTCATCGATGGCTAGTTTGTTTTAAAAGATTATTTAATCTAACAAAACTCTACATACTGACCTTCACTTTCCAACAGTTGACCAACATATAACGTCCCTTTATCAACGATTTTGCAAAAATTTAAATGGGCATAATAACAGACTTATAAGAGACATGGCCACAGCTGACATACCTCAGAACATGAGGAGGAGACTAAAAAGGCGTTGGATGAGCGATCTCCTTCCTTAGACAACCTAAGTAATTGGAGCAAGTTAGGGAAGAGGTACTGCTGAGTAGTACTTTCCTTCCCTATGCCTGTCATGTCATTTATCATATACCGCCATCACATTTGCTGATTGTCAACAATAAGTTGACAGGCGCAAATATATTTTTGATAGAAAAAAAAACTAGACTAAAAATATTTACGAAAAACAAATAGTATTTCTTTTATTAATAACAAAGAATTCACCGCAATCAACTTATGTATTATATTTAAAAAAAAATCTTTGTGTGTGTGTGTGTGGGGGGGGGAGGGGTGTGTATTCCTGATCTGAGGCGTCGAAGCTCTATTTTAATACTTTAAAGATTATCCCATTGTTAACTTATAAAAAAAAAAAAAAAAAACGGGATCGAAACGTCGAATAAACACCGAAGCAATGAACAGTTAGTAGTTTATTGAATAATTATTAAGTGATCTTATTCCCAATTAAATAATTATGTTTTAATATATATATATATATATATATATATATATATATATATATATATATATATATATATATATATAATAAGCAAATTAAAATAAAATAACATAAATAACTTAATAATAAAATAATAAATAACCTCTGGTCACAGATGCAAAGTACGCATACAGCGTGCATAGCCCTCTTACCTTAAAATGCCCTTGGGCAATAAAAGGAAATTGAAAATTTATGTATATATAACATTTATATATATATATATATATATATATATATATATATATATATATATATTGTATTTTGTAATCAAGAAATTCCTGAGGGGTAGGAAAAAAATTAACATCAGTAAACAACAAGGTTTCTGGGGTATCTTCAAAAGTTCTGTTATGTACATTTCGTGATCAGTCGGATTGGAAAAGGAGTAGGTGCTTAAAAAGCAGTGATTTAAATGAGGAAACTGATTGTACATGTCGGATATCGGAAGGGATAGATTTCCAAAAGGTGACGGCTTGAATTACAAAGCACTTGTCTTACAGAGGAGGAGGATAGACGTCAGAAGTACGGAATCTGGTGGGACGGTATTAAATGATTTGAATTGTAGGCTGTGAAGAATATAGGAGGGTCGCTGACTTGTAATGGCCTGGGTTAGAAAGGTAGCAAGGATGTACTGACGGCGGTTGGATAGAGCCACTTCTACTCGGTGTAAAACTCGGTAATATGCGTTTCTCTTATAATCCCGAAGATAAACAAAAGATAAAAAGAATATGTTGCTCGTTCAAAACATATCGAACGAATAGCTAAAAAAACAGTTACAACTTATATTTCGTTTTTAGCTACACGATTACTTACATTTATTTGCTTATAAACTCTTATTCTTTATTTTTCTTGACATATTTCTTTTTTAATAAAAAAACAAGACAGTTATGTTATGAGCTCTTGTTAGGAATAGTTTCATGTTTTTAGATAGATAGAAAAATAAATTTTATTCTAGGACGAGGTCCCCAAAGAATAAAAAAAATACATATCTACATGTTTATTACATTATATATAAATGACGAAGACTTCGAGTATCCTGCCATGCCAAGCTATATATTTTTGACTTTATTTTGTTTACATCTTCCTCCGTTTATTACAAAAGAAAGAAAAGAATTTTGCCGAGAACCGCAGGGAGGATAGACGATGTTTAAATGACTTGGTGCCTAAGGAAGGGAGGTTGGCTTTGGAGATCTATAAGCCTTTGAATTGAGGGCAATGAATCATCAAAGGGCTGACAGATCAGAACGGTTTCCACTTCCTCCACAACCCCTCCCCCATCTTCCCTGTTCTCTCCCTCCTTATTGTAAACGAGGTGGTCCATCCTCTTAAAATATTTTTGTTGCCATATGTTTTAATGTGTAATATAACCAACTATTAAGAATGAAAAGTATCTTCACCCAATGTTCTAGATTGTTTTTTTAATGTTGTTTTTCCATTTCGGTAAAATTATTCGATTTATTTATTATTGAATTTGTAATAAATCATTAATTAAGTACGGACTGGCGTTATTGTAAAGTAGCCAAGTAGTGTAAATTAATGAATCTTTCAAGATGTTAAATCGTATTTGTAAATCCCTTTTAGTAAATGTCTTGTTGGGTAGCATAATTGAAGGATACATGTAATGAATTAATTCATACCACTTTTATTTCATCGTTAATTTCATAAAAGCGTAACGGTGACTGTATTTTGTAAAATAAATATTTATCGAAATGCTCTGTTACTTGTGCCCTATTTTTCTTTGATTCTCCGACTTCATTAAACTGCATCACATATTTTTTATATATGAATGCAAGGATATTTTATAATATCCATTTTAAGATCCTGAGAATATGTGGCTTTAGCGTTCTCACTCAGCCTCCACTGACTTTCAAACAGTGATGCGACTGGGAGAGAGGCGCTGGGATATCTTTGAGCCCTGCTTTGCATATCACATGAGAGCCAGCAAAGCAGGGTTCAGGGTTTCTCATGCTGAATGTAAATATTATATATAGGAATGAGTATGACAACCTTAAAAAAAAACCTGTACCACTTCAATCCATGAAGGATTTTGGGATTCGGAATGTTTTCGGAAAGTACTGTTTCAAGATAAACGGTTGTGTAGGGAGGAGATCGGGCCATAATCATGCTCAACTGCCAGGTTTTCGCTCTTAATCCATTTATGAATTAAGGGTACCCACTTTGTTGTGGCTGGATGTTCCCCAGGAGGGTCTCACTACCCCACAGTCGTCCCTACGGCCAATGAAAAAGAATAGATAATTTTTTTGCCATTAGCCGGGATTCGAAGATGTGATATTGACCATCGGAAGCTCAGTGCCGTACCTCTCAGCTACCCCGCTCACTAATGAGTGTGACAAGTAATTTTCTTTTCTTTTTATTATCCTTTTAATGTGTTTTTTTCATATAGTTTTTACTTACATGTCTTCTTCTTATATATTTTTTCTCAATTTGCATACAATAGTTATGAATGTACACATGTAGCCTTAATACCTAATGCACTTGATGCCCAGTTTTAAAGATTAACCCAATGGATTTGTTTTCTTAAGATTTCTTGTTGTTCGGGATCCCACTACCAGAACATTTGCAAATATTTTGAAATAGTAGTTTTCACCGCACTTAACACAACAACGCATTTCTAGCAGTACTAACATTCTTTCGAAGCAGCTAATTAATTTAGGGAGTGAAAACTACTTAACTACATTATTGATCATAGAAATCGTTTTAATTTACCAAACGCTTCGAACTTGTTATAAAACTTTTAGCCGCTCTTAAATTCTATCACGTAAGAGTAAGCACAGCTAGGATTGCGATGACTTTGTTTCATAACAGCGACTGATTCCGCTTCGTCTATAAATTCTTTTCTGAAACTAAGCATAAACTTTTGAATTCACCTAGTTATTTGGCAATAATAACGCTTTAACCCATAGAATTAATGAACAAATTTAGACCGAAAACAAATTTATTTTCTGTATTTGTTTTTATATTGGCAAACACCAATTTATTTTTTTTCCAAATTTTTTTAAAAGAAATATTTGGCAAGGATTAATAATGCGAATGATGCAATTCATTCAAGATAATCATATCTGTAATTTAAGCCCGTTGCCATTTATTTCTCAATTAATGTAACATTTTCTGTGGGACATAAAAAGTAAAAGTTCTTGACTGAATCCAGAGCTGCTTTAAATCAATCAAATTAAAGATAATAACTGAACAAAATTTTATTTGGTTTATATTTATTGCAAAGAAAAAAAAAAGTAAAATCCTATTATTATCAATCTAAGCATAACTGTACTGAGATCTTTTTTACTTTGATATCGGAGCAGGGACATAAAAAGTTTTTGACATTTTTCGATTTTTTCTAAATTGAAGCTTTGATATTTTCCTTGGTGCGGCGATTAAAAATGTTTAAAACAGTTAAAGTACTTCTTATGAGGTTCGTGGTAAGTAAAAGTCTCACTTGTTTATTTGCTTGCTTGGTTTGGTGAGTTTCGGAGTTTAGTGGCAGTTCTATTATTAAGAAAAACATGGTAAGCAATCGTAACACCTGAGGAGTGGAAGTAAATCTTATCTGAGTGATCTTTAGAAGAGCTCTCAGAATATCTTTTTGGCACAGCATCATTAAAAATGTTGTGATGGTTTATTAATCCTTTTTGGTCGAATATTCTAGTACTTCCACACGAAATTTGTCAGTGACGTTGTAATTAGCAAGTCTTTTAGTATTCGTGCACGAATCCCAGAGTTTAATATGACCATATATCTTTTTTACACAGCAACTTTAAATATTTAGTGATGTGTTATTAAACCTGTTTGTTCGAATATTGTAATATCTCGACACGAAATTCGTCAGTGACGTTGTAATTAGCAGATCTGACTTTTTTTATGTAAAATGACATTTTACACATTTCATGAGAGATCTCTGGAACAGTTCTCAATAAATGATAGTCGTGATTCGAAGTAGGACTTTTCTGAACTTCTCGTTTCATCAGAATTTTCTTCATCAAGAAGCCCAGAGTTTAATATGGCCAGTATATCTTTTTTACACAGCATCATTAAAAATGTAGTGATGGTTTATTAATCCTTTTTGGTCGAATATTCTAGTATTTCCACACGAAATTTTTCAGTGACGTTGTAATTCGCAGATCTGACTTCTTTACGTAAAATGACATTTTACACATGTCATGAGAGATCTCTGGAAGAGTTCTCAATAAATGACAGTCGTGATTCGAAGTAGGACTTTTTTGAGCTTCTCGTTTCATCAGAATTTTCTTCATCAAGAAGCCCAGAGTTTAATATGACCATATATCTTTTTTACACAGCAACTTTAAATATTTAGTGATGTGTTATTAAATCTGTTTGGTCGAATATTGTAATATCTCGACACGAAATTTGTCAGTGACGTTGAAATTAGCAGGTCTTTTAGTATTCGTGCTGCACTACTGTGTCGAATGAGCAATGTGGATTTATGGAACCTTCTGAGTCGGCGACAGCATATTCATGAACTGGAATAATAAATATATCACGAAGTATAACCTAGTTAAATCACTGTGTAAAATAACATTAACGCAGGAACTAATTATTTATTTATTGATTTAACAAGATTTTTTAAACCAAACTATTACATAATAATTGTTAATATTCTACGTTAGTAATCCTTAGAAGAAATAAATTAAGCAATATTCAATGATTTATTACTTCCATGATGGGCAAAAATAGAAAAAAAAAGAAAAAAGAAAAAGTTTACAAAAAAATCAATTTTCATGTTACATATCTCAATACTTACTACATAATAATACATAATTAATAATCGCTACACAAATCTAACTAATTCATATACATATTCTGATGATGGATCCGCTGGACGTAACCTCGATGTTGTTATATCTGTATTTAATTTTCATATTTATATTCAGTTTTTTTTCTGTCCATACGGTTCTTAAACAAGTTCTTAAACTGAGCACTGAGTTCATGGATGACATTAATCCATCTCTAAACTCGGCGAAACGATTCTCACATTCTATATCAGCTTTGAAAATCAACAATTTAGTAGGTGTTTCTTAGTACATTTTTTTTTTCATTTGTCATGTGTTTAGTAACCTTTCAGGAGTATTAACTTTTTGCTGGAAGCCATCGAGGCATTCTTAAACCCATCGCTACATCGCTGTCTGTCAGTGCTGTTAAAATTATTTAGTTAAATTTAGGAAAAAATTTAAATTTTGTCAAGAATGAAAAACAATTTGCAAAAACAAGAATATTGCTGTCATCTCCATAAATTTTTTAAAAATTTCCTCGAAATCCGTCCCTAGTATAAGGTCACACTCTTTAAGATGTGTGACACCATCAAATATAGCTGAGAAGATCTTAAAGAGGTGGTGCCCCCACCTTCCCCGTCTTCTGTTCTTCGGCGAGTTGGTATTGGATCATTTCTTCTTCTATTGAAAGTTTTTGACTTGGAATACTCAGTGTTCTACTATTTTCCACTTACGTTTTTTTTTTTTTTTTAATTATAACTAATGAATTTTAGTGATTAAATTTGTTACTATAGTATTTTACTTATTTCGTTTTTTCCATAGTACTACTGTGCTTCGGTAACCTCGATAATTGAAGATTAGAGCAATACTCTAATGTTTTTAAATCTAACAATGCATCGGTAACCAGTGGGATCAATGAAAAAGAATTTTTCATAGCTCTGAGAGAATATTCCTAGTAAGTATAATATTCGCTTGCTTGGTATATACATTGAATTTATGGACTTCGGCATTAACAATTGACGGTAGTGTGAACTATATTTTACTGTAATATGTACAGGTATACAATTCAAAATGGTATATCGAACATCATATGTTTAGAAGTTGGTTGGGGGTTTCAGTCATCGTGAGAAACAGAAATAAAAATATATTTTTTTATATAAGATAAAAATTATGATAACTAGATAAAAATATTGTGAACATAAAAATGATAAGAATATAAAATATACGTTTTCTGCTAATAAGTAATATCTAAGGAATCAATGAAAATTACATTATGTAAAATAAATTGAAGTGTTGACTCGTAATGGCAAATTTTAAAATTATATAGAAAATATTGTGATAAGTTGTACATTTTTACATTCCATTAAGAGGATAATGCACCGGTGTGATACAAAATTAAAAGTTTTTTCGGAAATTTATTTGATTTTTTTTTGTTATTTTTTACTTATTTCTCTGATTTATTTTATTTATGTTTCTTAATATTTCATTTTACTTCTTCGTTATTTAAAGGTTTTTTTTCATTATTTCGTTACCGTTACTTTATAACTCCCTATAAATCTATTTATATATCTTATGTATCATATATTTTTTATTTTTTTGTCGTAACTTCTCCGCAGGGGTTAGCTGATGTCCAAGGCTAGCGAGGATTTAACAAGTCAAAAGTTTGGATTGCTGACAGTCCTTTCAACAATTAAATTAAAGTAGTCGGGATATATGAAATACATTTATCCTATTTCTTTTTTTAATGATGTCATATTAATTAATAACCAATTTCAGACTTATTATAGTGAAGATGAAGCGGATGTATTAATTTTGATTTGATATGGAATTCCTGGATAAATATATTTCTCAGCCAACCATAGGAGCTCATCATGTAAAATGCCTTAGGTAGCCGGAGTGGGTCGCTATGTGATCGCATGCCCCACATTCTGTAAATGATTCAACGTGTCATGAACGAGAAATTCTTCGTTACCATGAAGGTGATAACAGAAAATCACTATTCCGTTCTAATAATAAATTTGTGATGCTTTCATTAATATACTCCTAGCTTAGTGAAGTTTAATTTTAAGACAAGAATTTTGAAATGTTTTGCCATCAATAGTCGCAGTACCTAGGGTTTTTGCGGAAACAATTTATAAAGTTTAGCTTAAAGTCCCAGGAGTTTTTATTTTAGGCTAGGCTCAGGAATAAGAATTAGAAGAGTTCCCACCAGCCTGCTGGTGGATCACTCCTGTAGATCCTAGTCCTTCAATTCCTACCTTTCTTCCCCCTCTACCAATTACAACTCCCTCTGGAAAATGACCAAAAAAATCCTTAAATACCAATCTATTTCCCATCCACTCCGACGAGATAATAGAACCTGGGCTTTGTCAGATGAGACTAGACCTGAAGAATTTGCCAAACACCTATCCAAAACATTCACTCCCCACACCGAACTCCATCCCACCCACTCTGCTGAAGTTAAAGGAACTCCTCCCTTCTCCGATTCTTCTCACCTTGCCTCCTAAAGCTGTCAACACCTCTGAGGTCAAATTCCTTATTAACAATTTGAAACCTCGAAAATCCCCTGGACACGATCTCCTTACTTCCCAGATCCTTACACAACTTCCCAAAATTTTTCGTGTTAATAGATATGCAAATATATTTTAAATGAAAAACAGTATGTGCTTGGATGATTTTGTGTGATGTAAATTGTCTCTTAAATGCAATTTATTTTTATTTTGCATTCTAAAAAAATTTGTTATTTCTAATTAAAAAAAACCGTACCACTACAATCTGAATGACCTCTCGACTAATGAAGCCAGGCCAAGTAAGATCTTCGTGAAATTCTGAACTGAAAGTCCTCTCTAATTTTGTTTAATCCTTATTACTGATAAGTCGACTACTTACACATCTCTTAAATATTATAAATGTTAAACGTCTTGCTTCGTTGAATAGCATTATTTGCTGGATTCAGAGACAGCATCAATTTTTGAAGTAGACGGATTATAACTATGGACTAGTGAAGTTTGTAGTATACAGGTATAATAATACAATAAATAAAGATGTTAAGGATTAAAATTCCAAATATGTTTTTCACCAATAACTTTGTTCTTAACAATTTTTTTGGTATCCATCCTTTGAGGTGATCGGTCCATCATGTTCTCCAATTTAGGCTTTCATAAAATTTGTGTTAGAGTAAAAGCACCATCTGCAAAAAAAAATATATATGCAACGTCTTAGTTTGCTTTTTATGTTAAGGATTAAGATTTCAAAAGTGTTTTCCCGGTTCCTTTGTTCTTGAAATTTTTTTATATATATATATCCTTTTAGTAAATGGATCCATCATGTTCCCCTGAGCAGGGTTTCATTATATCTGGCCTTATTTTCAAAGTACCATCTGCTAAAAAAAAAGATGGCACATTATTGTCTGGTCCTATAAGTGGGCATGGTGCATGGAAACTATTTCATTTCCGCTCACTTTTTCCATAAATATGAATTATTGAACAGACCACCATGTCATAAGACTCCTTTGTCTTCCTACCTCAGCAAAAATAAATTTGTAATTGCTATCAACTTATACTAGTAAAACAATGCTAAAATTTTTCTTCATCAAGAAGCCATAGTGTTTAATATGGCCAGAATATCTTTTTAACACAGAAACTTTCAAGTCTAGTAATGGTTTATTAATCCTTTTTGGTCGAATATTCTAGTATTTCCACACGAAATTTGTCAGTGACATTGTAATTCTCAGATCTGACTTTTTTATGTAAAATGACATTTTACACATGTCATGAGAGATCTCTGGAAGAGTTCTCAATAAATGATAGTCGTGATTCGAAATAGGACTTTTTTGAGCTTCTCGTGTCATCAGAATTTTCTTCATCAAGAATCCCAGAGTTTAATATGGCCAGTATATCTTTTTTACACAGCAGCTTTAAATATCTAGTGATGTGATATTAAACCTTTTTGGTCTAATATTTTAATATCTCGACACGAAATTTGTCGGTGACGTTGTAATTAGCAGGTCTTTTAGTATTTGTGCTGCACTACTGTGTCGAATGAGCAATTTGGATTTATGGAACCTTCCGAGTCGACGACAGCATATTCATCAGGTGCAGTGCTGAGAACTGCATAAATATAAATATATCACGGAATATAACATAGTTAAATCACTGTGTAAAAAAACATTAACACAGGAACTAATTATTTATTTATATATTAAGCAAGATTTTTTAAACCAAACTATTACATAATAATTGTTAATATTCTACGTTATTAATCCTTAGAAGAAATAAATTAAGCAATATTAAATTATTTATTACTTGTAAGATGGGCAAAAAAAAAAGTTTACAAAAAAATCAAATTTCATGTTATATACCTCAATACTTATAACGAAATTACACTATAAAAGTTAATTTTCACTACACAAGTCTAACTAATTCATATACATATTCTGATGATTGATCCGCTGGACGAAACCTCGATGTTGTTATATCTGTATTTAATTTACATATTTATATTCAGTTTATTTTCTGTCTATATAGGCAAGTTCTTAAACTCACCACTGAG